TTTTTGCATATTGTATTCTGCAGTAGTTGAAATAAATTCTTGGGAAGAAAACAGATGTTTTAATGTGACTTTGCATTAGCAAGTATCAGACCAATTTCATTATCCATAAAATTTCAGTAAACAAATGAACAAATCTTAAGAGAAAAAAAAATAATAGCATAAATCATATGAAATTGATAATTATGAATAACATTTTGAATATGACAAAAGTATGGCCATGATGTCTAATATTTTTGAATTAATAATCAAAACCGTATGCCAGTTTGACCCTGAAAATTTAACCCCAACCGAGTCTTACAGAACCTGCCTTGCTGATAGTATCAGAAACAAAGTAAACCTTCATAGATTGAGATCACCATAACAACAATCCTGTGTTATACAATTATTGCAGCGTTCTGTGAAGACTTGAAAATTCACACGTAAACCAGATTGTTTTTCTGAGCTGTGTTGTCAAGTGAAGCTTAAAAATGGATTATTTCATTTCATCCATCTGTCCAAGGTGACCTGTTTTGACCCGTTTTTTTTTTATAGAAAATATTGTGTTTGTTTTGTACAGGGAAGGGTTAAATGACCTCGACAATAACAACCCTTCCACTTGGATGGCCTGATTTACTCTCTAGGTTGTTCATCTATTAACATGAGAAAGGCAGAAGGTCAATGCCTTGTACTATACCAGTGTTTTTGTTAGTGCAAATTTGCATATAATATAAATGCATCTAATTTGAAATATCAAACAGCAGAGCTATAATTTTGTAAGGCAGTGAGGAGCTAACTGAGGATTTCATGATATTTTTGTATTCCGTTTACTAAAAATTTTGGTTTTCTTAACATTAAATTTTTGATTTTTAATTGTTTTAATTTGGATGTCTATTCATGAGAAGCATTTGAGGTATACCATAAGTTGTTGGTAAGTTGGCCTTTGTTTTTAATAATAAACACTTATTTTATGTGGTTGACATACCAATTAGGCCAAAAAAAAAAAAATATTGTTGCCCTCCGCGACCGACCAAAATTTTCCAAAAAATCGGGTCGCTATTTTTTTAATTTTTTTTAATTTTCAAGTACAAATTTGAGAAATACCACTTCCGAAATTAACATTTAGAACATAAAATCTAAAACAGACATGTATTTTTATCAAAATTGGGCCGTAGATGCATGTACAAATTTGGTACAATAGAAGGCATAATTTTGAGAACCGAGCGCGACGACGATATATATGCACAAAAAATTGTATCTCTCGCATGAGCGGTCAGTCCACGACCAGGCCTAGGCCTAGCCTATTCTTTACTACTGTACAACTAGTGGTTGCTTGAATCAACAATCGTATTCATTACCTTACAGTATATTGGACAATAAATTAAAACAAGCTTAGGTCTAGCCTTCGCTTTAAAAGCCGGTACATAGCTAGACATTTTCGTCTCTGTCAAGGTTTTAGGCCAACCGTATACAAAATATTTTTCTCCTTTTGTTTTTTTCTCGAAGTTTACTTCCGATTATATTATATAGAGGGCACTTGTTTGGACATCTTTCATAGCCACAGTATGGTTTTGCTCGACCTGCCCCTGCGTGTGATCGTGTGGATCGGTTACACATATTATTTCGAAGCCAATTAAGTCGTTCTTTAAACTGATTTATTTTTGTTAAAGGTATTTCAATATACACTTGGTTAGTATTTATTTCGTCGTTACTTGAATATTTTTTGTGGCCTACGAGCTAGCTAGGCTAGGCCTACGTCTACCAGCCCTGGGTCTTTATATAGGGACTGTAGTTTCAGGCCTATCCTATTTCAGGTAGGCTATTATTATTATTTTTTTTAAAAATCCGACCGACCGATCCTCGATCTCGATTTTTTCCGTTTAAAGCCAAACAACAATTTTTTTAAATTTTTGGGCCACTAATGTTGGCTAGTAAATGTACAAAACTTAGGTAAGCTCTCTAATCGAGTCTCATTAATTTGTTTTTGAGGCTGGTAGGGGAACCAAATTTGTAGGACAACCTACAGTAATTTCCTAACAGTAATATATGTTTGCTTTGATTTTACCCGAGTATAGTTTTTTTTTTAAGTTAATTTAGTTATTTTTTCTTATAATTATTCAATTAATCTTTTAGATTATATTTTATATCAAATAATAAAACCACATTAAAATTTAAATCGCTCCAGTATATATTATAGTGAACGAAGATAATAATAACGTGAAAATCCCAAAATTTTTTGGTTGAAATTATTGAATGATTAGAATTCTATCATCAGTTAATTTATAATCTTGAATATCCCATTTTGGATTTTTTTTTACCAAGATTTATGACTGAAAATTAAGGACTGCGAGGTCCATTTCTAATTGTTTTCTGTACCAAAGTTGTGGGCAAGAATTTGGTGAGCATATTATCACTTATCCCTTCCTTTATATTTCTATATCCCACCCCACACTCCCATTCACTTTATAAAGTCAGAAACACCTGCTACCATACCTATGGCAGTTAATGATTGAGTTTGACTGGGTTCCAGGGGGATTTTTTTGGTATGGACTTAAATGGATAAGTGGATAGGTGATTAGAAGAACAGCTGGGAGAATAAGCAGAACTGAGGTGAATAACCTAAATGATTTTAATTTTGGTGATTCTTAAAGGTACATTACTGTATTGTGTGTGTTATTTACTAAAAAACTGGAAAATATGTTTCAAATTGTTATTGCCTTGATGCTCTAATAGTTCCTACAATGGATTCAGTGAACATTTTGGGGGTGTTTCAATGTATAAATTTCCTGCTGATATTATCAAAATAATAGCTTAATTTAATCTTGGAGAATGATAATTCTCCCTACTTGGGTACTTTTTAATGCATTATTGTTGCTGAGATTACATCTTACTTTAGATAATACATAAATATTTGTTGGTAAATTAAGTAATGTAGTAATTTCATATACTCTATATATATATATATGGATCAATTTTGATTCAATAATAAAGATGCTATAACAGTAGCATATTTGATAAGTACAATACCTTTCAGGTATAATGCTATAATTATATTATATTTTATAAAAACTTGTAGGAGGAATCGAAACGTCCACTGATTAATCTCAGATAAGATAGTATAATACATACTCCAAGTATCGAAATGCACGCCATCGTGTCGGGATTCAATTTTTCGATATTAATTATGTCATCATCAGGAATCACAAAAGAACATTACTTTATTACTACATTTTTAAACCTGTATTAAAAGTCTACCTTCTGGATCAAAACAAAAGTGTCCCCTTTATAGGCAAGTCCCTTAGGGCCTGTTTCTACTGACAAAATACAAAAGTACCATATTCAGTGAAACCGGTTTTCACAATTGTTTATAAACAAAGACCGCATTGCAGTTTAATTTTAACATGAACAGAAACCGGTTTCTCCTAAGGAGGTCGTTGTGCAATGACGTCATTTTTACCCACAGCGAGTTCGTTAGGCAAACTAGCTAGCCGGCTAGCCTCCCCCTCATCTTTTCCTCCCCCCACAGATTAATCACTAGTCTTGTGATGGCGTCGGTCCAAATTACGCCCGACATTACTGCTACATTTGCTAAATCAAAAAATTAAAATACACACTTCGCGCCAAGATGAGAGTTGTTTATGTTCCGAGTACCATTTGGCAGCTTGCTAGGTCAGGTCAACTTGTGGTCAAACTGAGACCGCTATTGCATTGCAGCTAAAAATTGCTCAGTGAATACAGGTTTGAGTACGGTATTTGGCGATCGAGACCAGATTCAATTGGGGTTTTCAAAACCGGTATTTGAATTCGGGTTTTTTTTTAATGGGACCCATTTCCACTGACAAGAAAATACGGATCTTTGAGAATACTGGTCTTGAAACCAGAATTCTATTCTCAGCAGAAACAGGCCCTTAAAAAGGGGTTGGCCATACTGTTAAAGTCCCAAAGGAGGGGTTCTACTGTATAGTGAATGCTGTTTTCATTAATGTAAATTATGTGACAGATTTTTCACTGGAATCACTAGATATCAGTTTTCAGGTGATTGAGGACCAAACATTTATAGATCAGAAAATGCAGTTCATATCTTGTATTTTGATTGGTGGATTAAATATGTCGTGTAATATAACACGCCAATTTCCAGAGGAGTTTGTAAAATGTGCGTCTAGGAACATGTCCATCACAAGGGCAAGTGACTTCATTTAAAAAAAATGCATAGCAGTAAAGGCTGTTGACCGAAAGGTAAATGGTCAGGAGATTATAGGAAGCTTGAAACCATTCCAAAAGTCAATCGTAGATGTTTCCTTTCCATCTTTTATCATGTAATTTGCATTAAAGATCATAATTACTTCACTGCAAGGTTTTACTGATAGGTAAGAAAATAATTAATAATTTAATTGAAAAGTACGAGGGTTAGATCTATCCAGATGATAATTCACGTTAATGCTGGTCAAAATAAAATAGGTTAAGTCTTCATTTTGATTCTGATGAGTCTACTGAAAATATAATCATCCTTTACACTTCTCAAGGCTGATTTAACTTGATGCAGCAAATACTGTAGACTCGCCAGATTTGTGCAATCACAAGATATTATTGTACTGTAGGCCTACTTATAATTAACATATATGTATGACTGGCCCTTTAAAAGTGCTAATTAGCATAAAATGCTTTCTTATATGAACATTTGAAGCATTGTATAAATGCTTAAACTTGCTTGAGTATGTGGCACTCGAATACTACAGATTGATAATTGCTAAGTGGAGTGATCAAACATAATTCGATCTACTTTGCATAAATTTTTATTTTTCTCTGCATGCGGTAAGACTAACAACAAGTTTAACCTGGTTTTAGGTTTATTTTCTTTTGTGTTTTTTCCATGCAATAATATTGATGTTTTCTTTTTTTCATAACAGATCTTTCTGAATAAAACATCAAATCACCCTTAAATAAATATTTAAGTTACTCCTTTTCACATGCTATCTTTGTCTTGTTAACAAATAGTTAACTGCATGTTTCTTATATCTTTACAGGACTTCGTAGGCAGATGCAATTCTTCTTCAGGCTACACTATAGTCTTCTGAACTTAACTTTGCAAGCTGGGTTTTACTAATTCCATATTTTATCTAAATGTTTGAGATTCTTCTTGACAAGATGGGTTCAGGTACGGATTCGTAAATACTGGATTCTACATTTCAATACCTTAATCCCAATCGGATTTTTGAGATTAATTTTAAGATCATTCTGAAATGCTTGCGATTATTATTGCCATGACAACTGCTAGGTAACATAAAAATCATGTCATAATTTGTGAGCAATTCTGTTTATGATAAATTTACCCTCCTTAAAGCAAATTTATTATAAAATAATTTTAAATTTTACATTAATAAAAACATTTATTAATGATTAAGTTAGAGACAAAGGATAAAAACATTTTCCCTGTTTACAGAAACACATTTTTAAGACTTAAAAAAAAATTCTTTCTGGTAAGAACATACCATTTAATGCGTTTGGATCAGACTTGATCCAAACGAATTAATTCAAATGATTAATTCAAATTGAATGCAGACAAAATATTACTCCCAACATTTTCTAGTACTTTGCTATTCTAGACAACTTCCTGAAATTATCTTTATTGACTCATTCACTTAACCATAATTTCTAATACTATTATCTTCCTTTTTTCATAAAACAAACTAATACATTAATCCTATCCTTGAATGGAATTTAGCATAGTACTGTAATTACAATGTTTTCTTTCTAGAATGATACAAATTCTATTCACTAGCTTCTCATTTTCAGAAATAAAATGACCAGTGGTTCCAGAAATTCTTCATGGGGCTGAAAGTTGCCAATATGAAGTTTAATAGTCACGATGGTTTCAATCCGGCCTAGCCTTATCATGTTTGGAGGAAATTTTAAGAATAGGCAACTCTAGATGCCTAGAAATGGCACACTCAAGACTATAAAAATGCTTAATTTTAAAGCAAGATTCCCGGGGAGTATCCCGTTCCCTCTGGTCACCCCATCCCCCATTAGTGCTGCCACTTTGACCAGTTTAATACGTAATTATGGGATGTTGAAGTATTACGTAAGAAAATAATCTGCAACCGGCATGTAATTCGATCCTCCCATGTCCTTTTCTCCAAAGAATGAATCTTAAATAATTTAATCTGTTACTAAGTATGCCTAAAGAAATATAAGAATTTACATACTTTTTCCAAGGGCCATTGTTGAGCTCAACAACCATTTCATCTATTTTACATTTAAAGTCGGGAACACGCTCTGCATTGTACGATAGCATCAGAATAAATTTCATGAACTAAAGCTACTTTAGAAATTGTTTGTACTTGTATTATAGAATACAATGAATTTAAAATGGGAAATAAAGAACATTGAGAATATTTCTTGAGATGCTATGATTCCTATAACCTTGAAATATATTAGCCCTATATACCACGTCATTTTTGTTGCTGTAAGACTAAATTCCTAAGACTTAGAATGATGAAGTAAAGTAGTAAAAGCCCAAAATCCGTAACAATAATATGTCATAGAAGGAATCATATCATAATAATAATATATAATAAGAATGCAGTATTAGTAGGTAAAGAGGTAATATGTCTGAGATGTATGGCCTTTCTTCAGTAAGACTAAATTCATAGTTTAATGAATAATTCAAGATTGTTTCCCTTAAGGTGCTCACTGTACTGTAATACGATAATTTAGTTTGAATTGAAGTTTTGCGAAATCTACCTGCTAAAATCAGTGTAACAGACACACCGAGGCTCACATATGACAAATAATGCAAGATTGATTTTAGTTTCAGGAGCAAAATGTATATATTATTGATGTTTGTTTTCTGATTTTAAAACCTGCATAATTATAGAACCATTACTGGCATTGTTTGAAGCTTTACAAAATCTTCATACTAAAATTAATTCGGGAGCCATTTGAAGGCACTCTTATTTCCTCTAAATGCATGTTTGATTTTAGTTTGCTAATAAAAAAGCTTTGTAATTATTGATGATGATATTTTCTGATGTGAAATCTGCGGAATTACACAACCATTAATGTTGCGCGCCCTAGTTTTACGATTCCCTCACTTCTGCCAAATGAATTAATGAGAAAGCAACATTAGCAATTGTTTTGGTTAGGTAAGTAAAACTAAATGTATGAAAACATGCAATATTTTAATAAGATCGAGTCATAATGCAGTGTCATCACAATCTGCCAGACTCTAAAATATTAAAATAAATTAACTAAATATGAGGATATAAACCTTCTAAAGGTTAATTGATAATTAATACATCAAGGTCAGTTAATTAGATATTGTTTATTAACTTCATTTCTACGAAAACATCAATCTTGTTAATACACTGATTCGTTCATTCATCCTTTCAATAAATCAACTGCTTTTTGAAATGTCATTCTTTCCTTAGGGAGTAGTGCTATATGTGAGAAATTTCGTGGATCAGAAAATACTACTGCTACTCAACACTCGAGGGCGCCAAAAATGAAAAACTTGCCAAAGTGAGTACAAGTTTTTTGACAATTATCTTTCTTTGATATTCAAATTAAGCATTGGTGTGATTTAATAATCAAACATGATTTTGAGACATGACAAAATGTGTGTAGCCATGGAAACGCCATGTAGCAATTGCCTAATTATGTACCTTGGTAATAGCATTTGCTTAATTATGTACCATAGTGAGTGATCCCGGCTAAAGGAGATTAAAGGACCGGGATTACAGTAATCCCTGCGGAGCGAAGGCTAATTATAGTGTGTGTAGATAAGGGTAAGCCTCTACAATTTATGATATATGAAATGTTAAGGTTCTATTAGCGTTAATCCTAAGTCTTTCTAGTGTGATGTCATCGACACATAGTTTGTTGCATGATGACGATCAGCTTTTAGTTTTAATTATAGTATAATTCCCACGGTCACGTGATATACCCTGTTTTATAGAAGCACATGCTTATTATTTTTGAAAATGTTAACAACCTCAACTTCTCAATCCTGATTGGTTGTGGCATTGCATTGAATGTACTTGTGTATCTAAACAAGGTTGTATTACTGTAAAACCTCGAATTGAAGCCCTGTGCTTCTTGTTTTTTGCAAACTTTGGATGGGCTTCTTTTCCAGATGGTCTTCTTTTCGAGGCTACTTTTGCAAAGTAAAGAGGGGGCTTCTTTTTAAAATGAATGTTGTAGATTTTGTGAGTCTGTACCATAAAACAATAAATAAGGCCATAGTAACATCAATTTTTATCAAGTGTATTAAAATGACATTAAATCACCTACTGTATAAAACTACTGTATAAGCCAAGCTTGTTTTTAATTTATTTTGTTTTCTGAAATTCATGTACAGTGTTTGTACTGTACTATCTCAAAAAGAAGCCTAAGCTAACTTAAAAAGAAGCCTATGGGCTTCTTTTCGAGATGGGCTTCTTCTCGAGATGGGCTTCTTCTCGAGGCTACTTTTGCAAACTATAAAGGGGAGGGGGTTCAATTCGAGATGGCCTTCATCTCAAAATTAAGCCCACTAATTTGAGGTTTTACGGTATGCGATTGCTACATATTGCCACTTCCACTAAATCAGTATAATCAATTAATCTGAACTCTTGTTTTTTCATTACGATATGCTACTAATTTTGTTATGTTATGCTACTTACTGATTTGCATTTCTTATGAACAAGAGCGACCGCTCATCGGTCTGGGCGTTCCTCCACGTGTAAATACAGTACAGGTGCAAGTTAATAAGATAGAAATTTAAAAAAAAATTAAAATGTTTATTTGTACAAAAAAATATATATATTTAGAATGTTCATTTGTACAAAATTGAAATATCCTAAAATTGAAAAAAAAAAAGAAATTCTTAAAATTTGTGGAAAAAAAATTAAATACCAAGACGTGATAAAACTCACTACCTTAAGTTCTTTAGAACACATCCTTAACCGACCGCGCCATCCATGGAACGTGCCCTATTAGTGATAATGACAGTAATGTACAGTCCATGCTAAAACCCTTGTTTTGTTTTGTAGGTGTAGGGGAACCCTGGGGTCCAGTTTAAAAATATTATTTTTCAAGGTTTATTCAAAACATATTGCAGTCACAGCAAAAGCTGAATTAATACAATATTTACAGAAAACACTAAAAAAAAAAAGCAAATACAATATATAAAACCAGCACATATCAAAAAAATTCATTACCAAGAAATTTCATTATGACAACAAATTAAAGCTACTAATTTTTGTCATTAAACAATTTAACCATGAATGGAATTGGACTATGACTATGACGTTTAGTACGGATTTTAGGCATGGAAAGTGAGTGAGCATGGAAATATTACAATGCAATTAGATTGCGGCATAACTATCCTAAATGAAAATTACTTCTATTGCATAAAACCACAAACATGTGTACAGTATTCATCTAGTATTTCTAGCTTTTATCTCAGTATTTTTTTTACTACTGTATATAATATTATGCTTGATATTAAATATAAACATATGGGATTTCAGACTCATGTTCAGGATTATTAGGCTTTTGGAGTTAGCTTTGTTTTTAGTCATGAGAAATATAATGATGTTACAATACAACATTTATATTTATTAAGATCAGAGCGCTGTTATTATTATGAGAAATATCATAGCCTGATACAGGATTCAATTGCCTGTGAATACTCCACCCCGCAGGACCCAAATTTACTATTGGTCTTAGCTGAGTTATCAGAGGTAAAATTTACTATGTATTTTGGCTCTCCGTTTATAGAAATCAGCCAGTAGAGTGCTAGTTCTGTATGCATTTGAACTTAAGGGAAAGCCCAAATACTGTATACAAGGAAGTGGGAAATCACAGTTTGGGAGGAACCAGAATTTACAGAAGTGCATCCTAACCAGGAATTAAAGGGACCTCAATTGAAGAGCGAACTGTTTATATGATGGCTGTTTTTCCTCAGGATAAAAAATAATTACAACTCTAATCATTATATACCATTTAGATACATCCATATATATTTTCTTTTTCTTAATTTGATACCTCTGAATCAGCACAGAGGCTAAGCCTGATTAATAACAATGATAGTGGTTATAGTAATCATAATGATGATGACAATGATAATTGCCTTGTAAAAATTGGGTGAAGAGAGAAGCTACTACTGTAAGGAGAAATCACAGTCTGGGAGGAACCAGAATTGACAGAAGTGCATCCTAACCAGGAATTAAAGGGACCTCAAATTGAAGGGCAAACTGTCTATATGGTGGCCATTTTTCCTCAGGATAAAAAAGTATTAGAACTCTAACCATTATCAAGGGTAGATTTGGTGGTTGGGGGAAGGGCTCTACATTCAGCATGATGAGTTAAATTTACACGCCTTGAGGGGTTAATCATTTATATATGACTCAACCAAAAAAAAAATTAATTTGTATGCTGAGTAATTGTATAATGTATTTGGTCGTTTTGGGGGTTACTGTAAATATTTTAAAAAATAATATTACAAAGTCAACTCCAATGTCAATTAAAGGCAAATATTTACAGTGTGATTAGAAAATTGATATCAAATTCATGATAACATGCTTTGTTTATATTCCTGTGTCTTCTCTGCTTACATCATTGTACTGGTTTTTAAGACCTGAACTCTTTCTCTTCTTCTATTTAATTGTCCCCTTTGAAATCTGAATACTGTATCATGTGCATAGATATCTTGTGTATTTACACAAATATTTTACAAATTTGTTAAAAATTATGTCACCTTTAGTTGCCATTGTTTTAACAAATACTGTTATACTGTTGTATAAACACCAACTTTATTGGTATTTTTATTGATAATCAAAGAAATCTAATTTTGATTTTGCTTCACATGATGGAGGCTTGTTTCTGAATGCAAGACAGTTTTATTGAAACATATGTCTGCAAGTGGATATATATATTTATTGAAGTAGTGCTCGATTATTATGAGTCCTATATTTCTAGGTAATTGCAGTTCCCATAAGTAACAGTAGGACACTGCGAAAATAAAATCCTTTATGCAAATTCTTTTTGTAGAGAAAAACAAAATATTCTATCAATTCCTTTATATTATTACATTATAAATGGTACTCTCAGGTACTTTACCAAAAGAATGCATTTTTGAAAATTTTGTGCTATTTTTAGGTCAACATGTTTTTGACACTGACATATGGTAGGGTTTTTTGGATTGATGATATTGAACTTCAACATGGAGGGCAACGTGAGGGTTAATAATTATTTTATTTAAAAAATGTTTGCCAATAAAGGATAAGAATTCCTTTAAAACTATATGATAAATAGTAATAACTATGATAAATAGAGATGGAGTGTCATTTATTTAGGGATGCAAGCTGCCTTTTCATTCCTCTTTTTTTAATTATATAGGCGCTTGAGCCAAGGATTGCCAATCTGTCTTTCAGTTATACAATTAATAATAATAAAAATCCCAACTTAATATACCGCATGTAAAAACATCTCGTAAAAACATAATTAAAACATGAAGTTGCTTATTAAAAGGATCAAATAAATATAAGCATGAGACATAGATAAAAACAAATAAGTTTTTGCTGATTTATAGATTTCTTACAAACTACAAAAATTCTTCAATTGACTTGCCAGCAAATTGTCTATCTGGAACAGTATAAATTTTTCATCTGTGAATTGGTGAGAAAAACACTTTCTTTACTTGTTCTAATTTTGTTTTTTTGACACAGACATGTGACATGCCTAAAAATGGTCATGATGACATCACATCATCACCATATAAGCACATCATGACTAAATATGGGCATAAAACATTTTTTTGTCAAATTAAATTTGATAGTCTGGACAGAGATTTTATACAAAGTAAGCATTTCAGATATTTATTTTTTTTTTTGGTCAATGCTGACTGTTGTCTTTAATTATTCTGTGTCATTATCTTGTTCCATTGCTTCCTGTGAAGGCCGGGTTGAATCTTTCTTTAATTGGTGAGGATCGAGTGATGTAATTCACTCTGATCATCTGCTTGTTAATTAGTAGAATGTGAATGTCAGTAAAAAATGCAATTAACACAACTGATGATACAATCATTTGATGGCACATAGATCACTGCCGTAGTGTTATGTATGCTGACTAGTTTCAGTCCTCAAATAGTTGATATGAGAGCAACAGCATCCTAGATGGTCTGCAACATCATTGATGATGTGTAGACTGTCTTGAACATCTTTGTGGGATCACCTAGTTGATAAGAGACCAATAGCATCCTTCTACAAGGTCTTCAATATCTTTGTGGGATCGTGGTGGATCATGTAGTTGATATGTGGCCAATGCTAATTAACATCCTCAGAGGTCTGTAACATCCTTGATGATGCCTGGACTGTCCTCTCATTTTTAATGGTTCGTTGGTGCACTGTAACGTCATCACTGTCAGGTTTTGACAGTGGCAGAATCTTCAACAAGATGAAAGCAGCAACTTAACGAAAGAAGTCTTTTTGGCAGAATTTTCTGATACATGTAGTCTTCTTTCTGCATCTTCTCAATGGGCTATAGTATAGTCCACTCTCATTTGATACCTTAACCCAGGTAGTTGTCTTACATAGTGAAGGTGGAGCTTGGTGGTTATGGTTCTTGTCTTCCAGTCACAGGATTCTGGGTTCAAATCCTGGGAAAACACAGGATTTTTTTTCCTTACAAAAAGCATCACGTTCCTTAGGAGGATTAGGTTATAAAGCATCATGAAAGCTTGGTTCTCACGAGAGACCTAGTATCTGGATTGGGAGCTAACCGTTAGAGCAACCGTTACCACCTGTGTGAGAGCGCCCGATCGGTTACCGCTAACCGTTAGCGGTTTACAATTTCCAGTTTCTTATTGGCCAGTGATTCGATCATCATATTGTTGGTATCCGGATCGGGATTTTCTCGCATGGACGCACGGCAGCTAACGGTTAGCAGGATCCGGATACTGCTAACCATTAGCTGCTGTGTGAGAACCATAGCCATTATTACATTTATTTATGAGGGTCTTTGAATATTACAGTAGCTGACCTACATGTAGGATAAGGGTACCCTCTATTATAATTTAAAATACAAACATAAAACATTGTCTGCAATGTTTCTTCAGTGGAAGTTCTCAATACATTTTAAATATTAATATTTTTTGCATTACCAGTAATAGTGAAATATGACCGCTGTGGTAGTACGAAGAAATATGTCATCTGAACTAACCTACCATCAGAGATGTAAACCAGATGATGACATGACATATATCAGTTCTCATTGAATCTGCTCAGTGCTAGCATTATAATATAATAAAAGTTTTACCTATAATTATAGACCAGCATCATAACTTAAAAGCTCAATTCCCACTGCTAAATAATTTTTTTTTTACATAGCATTGAAATTTTCCATAAAATTATTTGAAATTTTTATTTTGTTGACTAGTAGAATTATTTTTTTTTATTACATACATTAAAAGTATACATACGATATGCCTATTTGCCTTGGCAAAGAGGCAAGGTTGGTCACAAGGGTTCCAAATTATCAGCTTTCTTTTGCTGAATCATCCTTGTATGATGCAACAGAAAATTCTAGAATCTAAAAATTGTTATTGTATAATACTTGGTCCATATTCAATTCTAATAAATGTTTTAAATTTTTAATTGAATAAAATAAAACACTGTCAGTAAACATTTAAAATATTTGAACACAATACAATTTTAGGTTATTTACTTATAAAGTTCGTGAATTGTACAAAGTACATAAATAAGGTGTAAACAATACAGAATTTCATATCAAAAATATGATATGAAACCAGACGATTATCTCTTTTCATTCAGAAGTATAAATGGATACCTAGGATGTAAATGATTTGAAATATAATAGTTTGATATTGAGCTAAGTTGCACAACTAGGAATACTTACCAGGGAGTGGAGGAGATTTCCCATGGTGCATGACATGAATTATGTATCCAACGAACGGGGGTAATATTGCACCATGAGAGTACCTATTGATTTCAGACTGAAGCCAGACTGTATTTCCTTGAAGCGGAGACAGGCCTTACAGTATATAACTCATATTATTATTATATATTTCAAAGTGGTTATTGAAATTTAGTGGGCTTTTATTTATATAGCGTTAAATCAACAGTATTTCAATTGGTTTAAATCCTATGCATATTTACTGAGAGAACAAAAGACAAGCTTGACCCTGTTATAGGGGAATGTAGTAAGATAACGTTTTACATCTTGTGAGGAAATTTGCTAATTCGGATGTCAAGTCTCAACCATGTAGGGTATCACTGTTGTTATAAAGTAAGGATTTTAGTAATTTCCTGAATAGAGGAGTAACTTTTTATAATACTAGCATTGTATATGGTGTGATTCAGGACTGTGTGTGCACACTATAGGCCTCTTGTGAAGGCCTATTGTATTTGATAATACTATAGTCATGCAATACGTTGCTTGGGGGTAAAGTACTATGATAGATATTGTACATAATAGTCTTCTGATCATTTGTAGAAAAGTTATGCTGGATGATTGTCAGTTATAGTTTTATTTTTATTATTGGCTACCACTTCCAGGAATTGTTGTACTGTTAATTGCAGGTTTATAGTAAAGTGGTATTTTCCCAATATTTTTCTCATCAGTCTTTCATTTAAATTTTTATATTAAATTTTAATTTCAATTACCTATATACATATGCTAATAATTACTTGTGAATTGAAACTGAAGTGTTCACCTACAGTATTGTGTCTGTAAATTGTATATTTCTAACTTGAATGATATTGTACTAAACTGTACTACAGTAGGACCTCACACTTAGGATCATTGTTGTAGGATTTTGCATAGGCAGCCGAAAATGCGTCCAGTGGTTCTTTCACAAGTAGTCAAGTACATGTGTGATAAATTTATAATAATAGCTTATATATTAATGCAATTTTATTTCATACCATAAATTGTAAGTATATGATTATGAGCTTTAGAGTATCATCTTCCAACTGTTAGTCATGATTGCTCATAATGAAGGTTTATTTATCTGGCTTCACTTATTGAAATAACTTATCTTTTTTTGACAGAAATCCAAATATAGACATGATTGAAGAAGATAGTTGCAAATCCTCTGGGAAGTTATCACAATTCAAAGCGCCCTCAATTATTACCGATGATGGTCAGCTGGTTTTGACCAACGATATCGGTTCAAATTTAAACCACAAAGATGGAGAATGTACAAAGAACCACCATAATATGCCATGTTCAAATGGCTCCGTGAACAGTAATAAGGACTTGAAATCAAAGAATTCATTTAATCCCACAATGCATCAGAACTCAAATAACCGCAACGATTCTAGTGATAGCGATGATATCCATTCAGAGGCATGCTCAAATATTCATACCCGCAAGATAGCAGGACTTAAGGACATTCAAGGTTATGATATACCGGTTTTTTCAAAGAGCATGACAGAGCGTGTACACACCCCATTAGGTCGGTGCGTAAGTGCGGACATTTGGAACCCGTCGTCTAGTTTGGATGTCCCTTCACATCATAGTTTACTGAAACAAGCTAATTTACAAAGGCGGATTTTCCCGTCAGTTCCATATTCACCGTATGCATCTCCTGTAGGATCTCCGACTGCATCACCACGTATTAAGCGTAAACCAACAATAGAGTCTTCAGTTATCTCAATTAAAGATAAAATGGTAAGTATCTGGAAACCAAAGTCATTAGAAGTTAAAAATACATTTGGTTTGAGGTCTTTCTGATTGACAACGAATCTTCATGTATAAAATGTTTTCCCCTAAATTAAGACTCAACCTTTTATGATGTGATAACATCTGAGCTTTACTTAAGATAATGTTTTGTTTTATGTTAGTCTAGTCTGTAATTTGCTGAATTTGGCAATAAAAACTGAAATAGAACAAACATACAAGATACATAAACCCAAATTACTACTATAAAATTCATAATGGAAGATATCACATGAATATGATATTTATCACAATTTTGAAAAGCACATTACCCTTGTAATTGGAGTACATTCAGATGTTGTCAAGCCACATTTAAAAAGTGCCATATGATTGGTAAAGTCTTAGAGCGGTTTTTAAATGCTAATGTTAGTAGCTTTGAGCATGTAACAAGGATTGGATACCTATCAGAGGGTAATGATGATCAATCTTTTGCATACTTAATGTACTCAGTTATCCTAGGGAATAAATTGAAAAAACGAATAGTATAATTAAATGTATTAATAGTAGAGTCACTTATGCAGCTGTCTGGTGTATGAAATACTGTTGGGAGGACATGTATATAAGTATACCTCTATGGTGTGCATATATGTGAACAGTCCTTAATACAGCAACTTTTAAAAAGCTGATGATTTGCTTAGGATATTACAGGTACTCCCAGAACAGTTTGGGGTCCAAAGTTGCAAGAAGCTCTTCATTTGAGATCTAATTATATTTTGCTGCAAGAGGTGATATCCTTTGCCAACTAACTTCAGGGAGAAAAACATTAGTAAAAACATGCAAATATCACAAATTTGCAGGAGATAAGTTAGTTCCTAGGATTTTTACTTGCTTGCGGAAGTGTAGGAAGCCACTCTGATTTCCATGAGACTCCCGAGTCAGTGGACCTCTAGTTTGTACAATGCTACTCATTGGTTCAAATGATTTTGTACTGCATTTTAATAACTTATAAGTTATTTTATATATAAATTAAAAGGTAAAGCACTAAAAACCAGCAATGATGTGGGAGACAGTGGCTGAATTTAAGTATAAAAATTTGATTCAAGAGCGAAAATATAAACAAAGAAAACAGACAGAAATTGAACCAATGTTTCGTACACTTGTCCTTCCACAGTGGGGAGCGAGTGAGGGTAGAAAAAGCCAGATAGTAAGTGAAATGTCCATTTAGCAGGAATGGTTATAAACAGTAGGCTAGGTGAGATTTTAAGTACATAAGGTGGCAGTGAGAGTGCATGCAATTTACTATACTTATTTTTTATTGTATACAAAATTTTCTATTAAATTATACATAATTTTTTTTTTTCTTTTAAACTAGGACTATGTACAACTCAATCAGTACCAACTTAGGGAGGAAATTGGCAAAGGAACTTTTGGGGTCGTTAAACTAGCATACAACGAGGAAGACAACAAAAACTATGTGAGTCATTTTTACTTTGCAGACGTTAATGAAATTCCATCATGATTCGGCCATGCATGTACACTCACATAGGATGCGAGGGGCTGAGTAAGCAATTGTGGCTTGTTAAACATTACCACCTTGATCCTATATCATGAACTGTACATTGGTCACAACTGTATTTGAAATAGAACTTTGATCGCATTATAAAATGTGGACTTTATTGTGAGAGAATCCAACCAGCTGATACTTTTATTTTCTAAAGCATTTTAAGATAAGGGAAAAAATGGTTGTGTTAGCATTCAAAAGTCAGCGTTGGTTGGTTGAGATTTGTTTTATTACGTGGGGAATAATTCTAAAATTCATTTAAAGTCATCACTTCGCTCATGATTTTGGTAACCATAAGGCTAAACTTCATGGTAACAGAAATATTATTTTTTAAAAATTAAGGCAACCTTAGCTTTTCGGGATTTTAGGTTCTTCAGACAGGGGAAACAGACTTTTTTTTGTTAGTGAAGTTTTTATTGATTTGCATATAATAGATGAAAGAGAGGATCATGATGAAATTATACAGTAATAATATAAGCAAGTTTTGTTTTAATCAATATTTAAATTCTCTTCAAATGGAAAGTAAAAATATAGAAATACATAACTATGGTTATACTGTACCATGTACAATCACTTTCTGTAGAGACAGAGCTGCTTCATCATATACTTAAATGCAGATAGCCACCAGGTATTTTAGCTGCTGGCTTTATTTTATGTTAAATTGATCAAAGAAAGTGTAAATACGTCAGTTCAAGATTGATTGATGCCATGTATTGATTACGATTATTTGAACTCTATTCCTTGCATGAAGTCACAAGTTACGTCAAATGAATATTAAAAAATGATCTTGAAAATAGGGGGAAGGGGGTTGGGGTTTACAAAAATTGATTCAATGGAACTCTAGTAGAAAATAAAAGCGTTTGTGTTTATTGAAACGATACACAATGGCAGGGATTAACCCTACTTAATATTTTCATCAGAAAGCATAGATTTTTGGTAGATCATGAAAAACAAGTATTGATTGAAAGGCAACGGTACTGTATATGAAAATGAAATAGTTCTCCTGTACAGGTTCTGTTGATTTCTGGTGATAAAAGATGTTAACTTTCAAGTTAAGATGGTGTAAAATTCTGCTAAGGACTTCCTTGATCTATGCGCTTCAGGCCCCTCGGCCACCCCTCCCCCACCAAAATAGAGTAAACAAAAGACGATGGTAATATTTGAACTTGCAAGTTTTATTACCTGAAAATTGACATAAGTGAAATGTTTACCAGATAATTAACAAATCCTAATAATATTTCCTCTCTACAGGCTATGAAGATTCTGTCCAAGAAACGCTTGATCAGAAAAGGCGGCTTTGCTCGTAAGTTATAACAATAAACAGTTCTGTAGTCTTTATTAGGGAGCTTCCAATTTTCGCGATGAAATGACGCCAGAGCGTTCTCGACACAACATAGATTTCGTCAAATTGCATCCTACAATTCACGAGTGACGAGGAGAACTAAACATTCTTTTATGTGCAGATGACTTTTTAGCTCCCGTGTCTTGATAAAATTAGTGTTCAATATCAACAACATAGTTTTATTGTTTTTATTATTGTATTAAACTATGGTTCTTTGAAAATAAATTAAGTTAGATATCTGAGTATGTTAAGCTATGTGAGATTTAGACTAAAACATGTTTAGTGTAAATTATTCTGAAGTTTGATTTATATATCGTAATATAGCAATATTATGTAGTCGTTAGTAGTATATGTTATTCCATGGAAAACGGTGCTAATGAATTGGTATACAAAAATTGGATATATGAATATAATCCTATTGCTCTTTAAGACTATCTTATATCGCATTAGCATTGATTGATGAACTGCAGGATTACATTGAGTTGTGATACCTCATTCATCACTCAGCCCCGCCATTCTATAGTAAACCCTACAGCTCAATATCATATGACGTCAGAAACAACTTAAAAAAAAAAACAAATTGCCATCAAAAACATACACTCTGACACAGAATGAAATATAATTAATTAGCTAAGTGATGGAGTTTGACGTCAGATTCAGTATGGAATTGTAACTAAAAAAAAAAATGAAATAAATCTCATGAAATAGACTTAACTTGTATTATGGCAAGTTGGCACCAGAACTGGTTGAGATACTAAAGCCAGACCCTCACTTAACCCAATGGTCATCAGTGTACGCGATTCTATGGAGAACATAGCGCCACAACGTGCGCACAACGGATCGTTTTTAATGACGATCCGTCTGACTGCAACCCAAAATTGCATCGTTTAGCGTTCACAGGGCGCAGAGTTACGGTATATTTGATGTAGTGAGTCCCCAGCTTATTGGTGTAAACTCCATCCTTCATCGATGCTCACGACCGAATTTAAAACTTTCTTCCTGCTTCGGTTTAGATATTGGCAGTTTCAAAACAATTGAGAGTACTTTTCCTCTTTCTGTACAGCAATTTTTTCTGTTTACTTTATTATTGTTTTTTTCTTTGTCTTTGATCTCTTTTAATGACTTGACCATTTTTCCCTGTTGTCATTTGTCCTGTTGTAATACTTGGGTACATTTTGGTTGGTTTACCCTTGCTATGACTTCTGTGTTTAGGTGTCCAAAACAGCAGGTTGTTGGCAACGTCATGTCTGCAATGGTAAATTAACCTCATCCATGCGATCTGATGGTGATTGCCAGGCAATTATCAGGCAAGATTTCTGTTTTACAGCAGAAACTCGCAAGAAACTTACGCATTATGATGTCTTGTTCTCTGTTAGGTTTTATTGAATTCATATTATTATTTGATCTTACATTACAACTGTAGTGAAGAGGATTTGCATTTAAGGACTGAAAGCAGATAAGGGGAAGAATCTTAAGCCTTATTAAACAGAAATTATTAAATCTTCCATCTGGATATGCTGTTGGCTACCTCATTGATTTGAAATTAATTAGTGCTAATGACCCATCCACAGAACGAAGTATATTTATGCATTTTGTAATAATGATTATTTAAATGATTCGAAAAATTTTGGTGCTGCTGCTTTTTAAAAGTTCTCGTGGTAGGAGATCTTGGCACGGATTATAAATTATTATTATAAATCTTTGGAGATTTCAAGGCAGCGGAGGGCATAATAAAATTAAATTCCCACTTTTTCGTGAGGGCAGGTGCGCTAATTGGCCGAAAATAAAATTTTATTTTTATTTGAAATCATCAATATTTGCAGTCGGCGCGTTCGCTAAACAAGATATAAAAAGGTCTCGCCTAAAAGACCATGACATATTTTTAGTCTCATTGATAGGAAGAAGATTTATACTCAAAACCATTATAATATTTAAAAATGTACTGTAACTCAATTATGAATTTTGGTAATTCATTTTTTATTCGACCTTTACTGGGAAAGAGAAATTAGAGATTTCTATTGCTATTTATTGACAATATTGCACTAGGTTTCAGCCTAAGTACAAAGGCTGTCTCTTATACACATCTAGATGTGTATAAGAGACAGGAGTTGTGATACCTCATTCATCACTCAGCCCCGCCATTCTATAGTAAACCCTACAGCTCAATATCATATGACGTCAGAAACAACTTAAAAAAAAAAACAAATTGCTATCAAAAACATACACTCTGACACAGAATGAAATATAATTAATTAGCTAAGTGATGGAGTTTGACGTCAGATTCAGTATGGAATTGTAACTAAAAAAAAAAAAATGAAATAAATCTCATGAAATAGACTTAACTTGTATTATGGCAAGTTGGCACCAGAACTGGTGGTACAGTAGCTGTCTCTTATACACATCTAGATGTGTATAAGAGACAGGATTATAATTAACGAAACTGAGATGTGCAATTTAGTCATGTGTTTCTGCTTAATGTAATATTCAGTTTTGTGTCGATGGGTCTTACAAGTACCAGTCAAAAGTCAGTAATGTGGAAATGTTACACATGTACAAGCAAAAATATGAGTCTAAATTATTATGTTGGCATGGATGATGAATGGATGGCATAATGACTCTGAATACTCTGACGTGGTACCCACAATCTCGATAAGGCAAGACTTCTTAATTCCTAGTTTCACATACTTATTTTGTCAAAGATTATCGGAGGAGGGATAATATAAATAAATAAATAAAATAAAAATAAAATTTTGTGTTCGTATTAACCAAATAGTTTTGCCAGAATCATCCAGATGGAGGAGAAAATAAAAATAAAACTTTATTGGTGAATGTAAAATAGGATGGTTAAATGCTTCAAATTTATATAATTAGGAAAAAAATATACATACTATATCTTATCTTTGGAGATTTCAAGGCAGCGGAGGGCATAAGAAAAATAAAGAAAAACTTTTATTGTTTTCTAAAATTCCCACTTTTTCGTGAGGGCAGCTGCGCTAATTGGCCGAAAATAAAATTTTATTTTTATTTGAAATCATCAATATTTGCAGTCGGCGCGTTCGCTAAACAAGATATGAAAAGGTCTCGCCTAAAAGACCATGACATATTTTTAGTCTCATTGATAGGAAGAAGATTTATACTCAAAACCATTATAATATTTAAAAATGTACTGTAACTCAATTATGAATTTTGGTAATTCATTTTTTATTCGACCTTTACTGGGAAAGAGAAATTAGAGATTTCTATTGCTATTTATTGACAATATTGCACTAGGTTTCAGCCTAAGTACAAAGGAATCAAAGATTACTTATTGTAAAATATAACATGATAGAGTCAAAATTAGCGTCCAGGTGCTACATCTTTTCTAATTGTCATACACTGTTGAATGAAATAAAATAACATTAAGAAGTGAAATAATCAAATAACAGCAAAAAAACTAAAAGTATGTTTTCATACGGCATCTATATACAAAAATACAAATCATATATATTGCCTAAAATGGAAAATATTTATGCAGGGACTAACTTCTTAAGTGTAGTAACTGATCTCCCCTAGGAACCCAGGGCTTCCGCCGGATCCTATCTCCTTCCTGGCTTAGGTCTCGAGTCTGTTACCCAAGCGGGCAAAGTGCTTAATGTCATTAGTAATGAGGTTATTGCTTGCTTTTTCTTTAATTGGAGCTGTTAGAAAAATGACACTAGTTTAGGGAGTAGTGTTTTAAATAAGCATGTATTTAGCTCTATAATGTAGTATATAACATATTAACTATAAACATTTCCATATAATATATTTTAACTTTCAATAATGGTACAAAATAGAAAGAACTGATTATAAAGATGTCTATTTTCATATATTTGTCTATATTGTAAGGTTCTACACCACCAGGGAAAGCCAAATGATAGTAATTTATTCCCTTCTGGTAGTTATATATTTTATTTTTCTGATCATCTTGTTTCTGTTATTGATGTTTTATTAGTAATTTGTTTGTATGTTTCTTTTTTATATTTGACAAACTAAATGAAATGAAAATGAAAGAACACCAAGGAGTTGTTACTTGAAATAGTACCCCACTTTCCTGCTAATGTTCAAGACATTATAGACACAAAATCATTTTCTGTTTATAGACTAATAGGTGATCAGGCTTAATTAGTCTGTCATTCAAGTTTATCCATAATGTCAAATTGTGTTTGATATTTTTTTTTGTGTACATTTATACTAATGTGTCTTGTGGTTTTCTTCCTATTGACGCCAATGTTATTAAAGCTAGAGCACTATTAGTGTTTGTATTACTTAAAGGGACAATCCTACAAGGGACAGTGATTCCTATTTACTGTTATAAAGCTAGTATATAGGTTTAAGCATTCTCTTAAAGGGACAGTCACTTATATTGAAGGTATCAGTGTACAGATTATTATATCATAATGTTTTTGATTTGTTAACAGGTCGTCCGCCACCAAGGGGAAATAGAAAAGTTCCAAAGACACCACTAGATAGAGTATACCAAGAAATCGCAATTCTCAAGAAATTAGATCATCCCAACGTTGTCAAATTAGTTGAGGTGAGATATACTCTGTCATCTACTAATCCAGAGTTAATCCAACTAATCTAAACTTTCTAATAATGTAACTGTCATCCGCCTTTCTCTAGTCACAACTAATCCTACTAATTCCTCATTAATACACTTTCCTTTGAAATTCATCCTATAAGGATTAATTTCCACATAGCATTATGCAAATTTGTTTTCGATATCTTTCTGTTTTATAATTACTAAACATTTAACAAACTACTTAATCTCTTTTAAGGTGCTTGATGATCCGTCTGAAGATGAGCTTTATATGGTGTTTGAGTTGGTAGAGAAAGGGTAAGACCTGTAAATTCCATTATTACATTTGAAGTATTGCATTAAAAACTTATGATTGGTTAAAAGAAAGCATGGCCGCCAGTCTTAGAGCTGTCACCTGCTGCAACAAGAAACAAAAAATCACAGTCAATCGCACATACGGAAACATATCACCAAATATTAACAATATAACCATCATAGTATCATGTGATTATTATTATCACAGTCACCTCCACAACCACTATCATCATTTGTAATTATCGCCACCATCCATATCACCATTGCTGTTTGCATCATAATCACCATCATCATATTGACCACTTCCATCACCATTACTGTCATAACCATTACCAGCACCATCACTACAGTTGTCCTTAATTTCAACACTGCAACAATCATCCTCATCATTATCAACATCAATATATTATCATCAACATCATCATCTTTGCCACTTCCATCATTACCATCACCGTTGCCATCGTAACCATTATCATCAGTGCCACCATCACCATGCTACTCACACCATCATCATCACCACCACTGTCCTCGTCATCACAATCAACCTCTTTTTCGGTAAACATATTCTAAATTGATTCATTTGGTTCAAATCAAATCAAATAAAATCTTTCTTTCTGGAAGTACTCTTTAAATACATACGGGTCTCCCAAGAGATCCAGATTCAACATAAAACAAGTAACAAAGTAAATGCATATAAAATCAAAAAAGGTGGTTACTTAATACTATTCTTAAATGGTTGGGATGGCATATATTCACTAGAATCCACATAGTGTTAATATTAAAAGAAAAGCATCATTTGTTGTCATTATTTTGTAGCAAATTATAATGTGTATTGCTGTTGTATTTGCTGACGAAATATAAGAAAAGGGCAAAGTGCAAAAATGTTGTGTTTTATTAATATCAACAAACAACAATAAAGCATCATCCCTGGATTTAATCCATGAGATATTTCAGATGCAGAATTTCTTTCCTTGAAGGTTCATACACAATCATTATTCTTGTAACTTGACTCAAATGATTTATCGTAGGACGGAATAGGAAAACCTACTTAGGTGGAAAGATAAGCCTTGAGTCAAAAGATTTATTGAGAGGTCATAGCATGGCGCATTGATGTTTAAATGCTAAAAGAAATACTACATCTACATATTTGAATTAATCTTTATAAACAATTAACTGCACACGGTACAGTAGAAGTCATATTTACTACTTGGGGAAGACAACCATGTGAAGGTATAGAATAGCCAAACACTTTTAATTCAAATTTAGATGGTGGGATTTTTTTATGTCATAGTTTAATCCAGAATGTACATTTACAAGTCTCACACATCTGGCTTGAGATACTTTGAGAACAAATCTCAAATTCTCATGTCTTCCCCCCCCCCCCCAAACTCTCAAGCTTTTTGTGAAATATAGTTATGAGATAGTGAGAGTCGCCTGAAATGGAGGTCTTCTGTTTCTTGATTGCAAATACTCTGAAGCTTAGGCAAGACTTTTTTTGTACCTTGTTTAGCGAGCCCAAAAAAATGGAATTTTTATTTTTTTTTATTTTTTTTAAAAATATGTATATTTCTTCCTAATTATATAAATTTAAACATTTAACCCTCCCATTACTACACTCTTTATAGTCACAAATAACATTTTATTTTCTCCTCCGTCTGGATGTTTTTGGCAAAATATTTGCTAAATGAAAAACCAAAATTTTACTTTTATTGTTATCCCGCCCTCTCTGACAATCTTTGAAAAAAAAGGTTAGCGAAACAAGGTATAAAAAAAGTCTCACCCTTATGTCGCAAGAAGCAGGGGTGGCGCCAGGATTTGCCCGATGGGAGGGGGCCTGATGAACCGACGAAGGGTCAGATTTCCCCGACGAAATCAAGTGGCCGTGGTTGAGCTTCAAAAGTAGTCCTGGGGGGGGGGGGGGAAGCCCCCGAAAATTTAGACAATTTATGGGTTTTAAAGGCTTATTTAATCGATTTTAGAGTCTACTAATA